TCAACATAACGCCATAAAGGATTTTTCTGATACTATGTACAGCATGTCTCTATATCCAACAATAACAAACCAAGTAGACTTACAGTGCACAGAGCTACATTATTTGATAAAATTTTTACCAATATTATAGAAAACCTATCACGAGTGGACTGTTTATATGTGACATTACTGACCATCTTCCAGTCTTTAGCCTGTATGACTGTGATTTAAAAAGCAAAAACAAACCTGATAAAAAGATGATTTACAAAAGGGAAAGAACTGAAGAAAATCTCAATGCCTTCAATAATAGTTTAAAAGGACAGGATTGTAACTCTGTTTTAAATGAGTCCAATGTAAATATTGCCTACGATAACTTTATTAAAACATTTGTTTGTCTTTATAATAAGCACTGTCCTATTAAACCATATTGTAAGACCAAAAACATAAACAGTCCATGGCTTACGAGGGGAATCCTGAACAGTTGCAGAAAGAAACAGAATCTTTATAAAATCTTCATCAAGCTAAAGACTACTCAATCAAATTCAAAAAAGATTGAAGACGCTGAACAAAGGTACAAGACCTATAAAAATAAACTAACAAATATAATTCGGTCTAGTAAGCAATTATATTATGAAAGAATTCTAGAAGAAAATAAACATAATATTAAAAAAACTTTGGGCATACTAAATAGTGTAATAAAACAAGGATCATCTAAAAAAGTGTATCCTAATTATTTTGACGATATCAGTGGTGATAATCATGACATGAACAAAATAGTAAATGGTTTTAATCGTTTCTTTGTAAATGTTGGTCCTCAGTTGTCTAAAGAAATTCCTGTTCAGGGTTCCCCACCAAGCAGTGATATAATCGAAACAAATCCACACTCAATCTTTATCACAGCAACCGATGAGCAAGAAGTAAAGGAAACTGTCCTCAAATTTAAAAGTAAATTCTCTACAGATTGTGACGATATCGACATGGCACTTGTAAAAAATAGTCATCCATAATATTGTTAAACCTCTAACGTACATTTGTAATCTGTCCTTCAAGTCTGGTTGTTTTCCAAACAAAATGAAAGTAGCCAAAGATATACCAGTATTTAAGAGTGGGAATAGCCATAGTTTTACGAATTACCGACCAAGTTCTCTGCTGCCACAGTTCTCAAAAGTTCTAGAAAAAATATTCACTGCTCGGCTGGAAAAGTTTGTTGAAAAATATGGGCTGTTAAATGACAGTCAATATGGATTCAGAGCGAAGAGAACCACAAGCATGGCTTTAACTGAGGCAGTTGAAGATATAACAAATGCAATTGAACACAAATTACATGCAATAGGAATTTTTATAGACCTGAGAAAAGCATTTGATACAATTAACCACTCAATATTGCTGGTAAAGCTTCGAAAATATGGTATCAGGGGTGTAGCGGGGAACTGGCTAAAAGATTATCTCACAGAAAGAGCACAGTTTGTTCAAATGGAAAATTATGTCTCCGAAAGTCTTGGCATTGCGTGTGGTGTCCCCCAGGGGTCAGTGTTGGGATCTATGTTGTTCAACCTGTATATTAATGATATTTTCAATGTGTCAAAGTCTTTAAAACTAATTCTTTTTGCAGATGACACCAACATTTTCTACAGTAGTTCAGACTCATCAGAATTAATCAACACTGTAAATGTTGAGCTAAACAAACTTAAAAAATGGATGGACACAAATAAACTGTCATTAAACTTAAATAAAACAAAAGTAATGACGTTTGGTTACACAAAAGCATGTCCAAATTTAAACATTTTCATTGATGGAGTCCAAATTGAAGATGTTGCTGAAAACAAATTCCTAGGGGTAACTATGGACAACAGTTTATCATGGAAAGCTCATATAAGTCATACAAAGACCAAAATATCTAAAAATCTCTCAATTATAAATAAGGCTAAACACTACCTTGATACTCACGCACTACGCTCGTTGTATTGTTCATTGGTTCAACCTGGAGAGACTACAAGAGACGAGATGCGTTTAAGAGTTGTTTATTTTATGGATTGAGTTTGTTTATTGGTTTGGAGCTTAGGCCCCGGCTGTGGCCGTGCTCTGGAGAGATCTGCGCCTGGGTGCAGATCATGATCCCCAAAAAGAGAGCTTGGCTAGCGATGCGTTTGCCATGACTTGGTTGCTGCGTTTATGGAAGGCGCATGGTGTGAGTGACTGTTTCCGTGCGCGAGCTCGGCTCTGGCGCTAGGCGTTGGCACGCGCACGAGCTCGGCTCAAGTGCGCGGCGTAATGCCCGGGCGCGAGCTCGGCTCTAGCGCTAGGCGTTGGCACGCGCACGAGCTCGGCTCAAGTGCGCGCCGTAATGTCCGTGCGCGAGCTTGGCTCTAGCGCTAGGCGTTGGCACGCGCACGAGCTCGGCTCAAGTGCGCGCCGTAATGTCCGTGCGCGAGCTCGGCTCTAGCGCTAGGCGTTGGCACGCGCACGAGCTCGGCTCAAGTGCGCGGCGTAATGTCCGTGCGCGAGCTCGGCTCTAGCGCTAGGCGTTGGCACGCGCTCGGCTTAATGTCCGTGCGCGAGCTCGGCTCTAGCGCTAGCACGCGCACGAGCTCGGCCTAAGTGCGCGGCGTAATGTCCGTGCGCGAGCTCGGCTCTAGCGCTAGGCGTTGGCACGCGCACGAGCTTGGCTCGAGTGCGCGGCATGCTGGAAATGAGGAGTTGCCACCACCAGGAGATGCATACGTACTTATATGAGAGGAGGCGCTGGGCTGCCAGAACGGATGAATGTGGTAGAGAACCGGGGACCGAGCTCCTGGAGAGATGATTGAGGGAGTCCCAGGGCAGCAGTCCAAGTGGCTGCTCCTATACGGAAGGAGTGGCGGGTGTAGAGAAAGGAAGAGAGGTTACATGCAGGGAGCAGAGGTTTTGAATTTGTTCAGACCAGGGGGTCGTCGAGGGATTGTTTAAGGAGTAATTATAGTCTATGAATGTTGATAAAATGTCCATAGATGTTGTAGAATGTTAAAGTATCCTGGATCATCACCACGGCCTTCTAGTTGGACACTAACTGTCCAGACCCTCCTGCATGGCGAGGAAAACTCACAAAACCCCGTGGGGAAAAAAGTGAGAAACCTTCGGAAGACCCTACACATAGAGAGAGGGAATCCACTCCACGGACAGACAGGCTAGTCGTCCAGGACCTAAACTACAGAACAAGGACCATTGCCAATACTCCTTTAAGGATCTTCTTATGAGGGTGGAGCAGTGTGACTCGAAGTGGATTTTAGAGAATGTATTTAATGCCGATGTAGATGAGGCAGTGACGGCAATACCCGCGATGCTGATGTCCAGAGACTGAGAGTGTGCAGTGAGAGGGAAAGGAGAAAGCTGAATGAAGGATGAACTGCTGGTGTTTAGAGCGCTGATATTCGAACATGATTCCACTTGGGGAGACTAGAAGGTGAAAATGAGATTCATGAAGTACACTTACCCAGGAAGATTGATGTTCGATAGGAGATCTCTGGACCCCCAAAAACCAACGCACAAGGGCCCGGTCAGAATGAGGGCCAGGGTGCGTCAGGTAAGGCGAAGCGTGAGACAGGCCCGGCGGCAGGAGCCGCACCAGGAGACCAGGAGAGAATATGCCTGGGGAACATGAGAAGGAGCACCGCCTACAGCCACTCAGAGTGCACGCAAACCGTGGCGGGCAGTGCTGCACACCAAAAGCCAATGAGTGCGGCCTGGGGAAGATAGCCGGCCAGGTTTGAAGGCCACGCCGATAGTACACATGCAGTCTTAGCAGGCTAGCGTTGCAGCAGGCCACCATCGCGGCGTTGTAGCAGAGCTTTGGTGCGGCGTTGCGGCATCGCGTTCCTGCGAAGCTGAAAAGAGAAACCTCGAACCACTATCACTCGAGTGAAAAGGACCAACGGGCAGTGTCAGACCGCGTCTTCAGTCAGACCGCGTCTTCAGTCAGACCGCGTCTTCAGTCAGACCGCGTCTTCAGTCAGACCGCGTCTTCACTCAGACCGCGTCTTCAGTCAGACCGCGTCGTCAGTCAGACCACGTCTTCAGTCAGACCACGTCTTCAATCAGACCACGTCTTCAGTCGGACCACTGACCTGATCCTTCGATGACGGCTCTTCCCGTCATTGTGAAGCAGAACTCTCCTAGCGTTGGATTGTTCACCCACCAAGGGGAACGCGAGTCCATGGTCGACACTGGTTCCACGATGAATGGATGAGAGCACACGAAGCGTCGAAGCATGAGGTCGAGAATGCGGCAGGAGGCGGACACCGACGTGGAAGCGTGTGCGCCAACCGACGTACGGCGATGAAGCGTGCGGCCACTGACGTGTGCTGCAATGAAGCGTGCTGCGTCAAAGCGTGCGGCGTCGTTGAAGCGTGCTGCGTCAAAGCGTGCGGCGTCGTTGAAGCGTGCTGCCTCAAAGCGTGCTGCCTCAAGGCGTGCGCCGTCGTTGAAGCGTGCTGCATCAAGGCGTGCAGCGTCGTTGAGGCGTCAAGGCGTGCGGCGTCCAAGCAAGCGGCGTCCAAGCGAGCGGCGTCCAAGCGAGCGGCGTCCAAGCGAGCGGCGTCCAAGCGAGCGGCGTCCAAGCGAGCGGCGTCCAAGCGAGCGGCGTCCAAGCGAGCGGCGTCCAAGCGAGCGGCGTCCAAGCGAGCGGCGTCCAAGCGAGCGGCGTCGTTGATGCATGCGGCTGCGTCAAGGCGTGCGCCGGCGTCAAGGCGTGCGGCGTCAAGGCGTGCGGCGTCAAGGCGTGCGGCGTCCAAGCGAGCTGCGTCGTTGATGCGTGCGCCATCGTTGATGCGTGCTGCGTCAAAGCGTGCTGCGTCAAAGCGTGCTGCGTTAAAGCGTGCGCCATCGTTGAAGCGTGCTGCGTCAAAGCGTGCTGCGGCGTAGCGTGCGGCGTTGTTGAGGAGCCAAGGCGTGCCGCGTCAAGGCGTGCGCCGCCCAAGCGTGCGCCGGAGTCGATGCGTGCGCCGGAGTCGATGCGTGCGCCGGAGTCGATGCGTGCGCCGGAGTCGATGCGTGCGCCGGAGTCGATGCGTGCGCCGGAGTCGATGCGTGCGCCGGAGTCGATGCGTGCGCCGGAGTCGATGAGTGCGCCGGAGTCGATGAGTGCGCCGGAGTCGAAGCGTGGAGGAGGAGTCGAAGCGTGGAGGAGGAGTCGAAGCGTGGAGGAGGAGTCGAAGCGTGGAGTCGTCGAAGCGTCGTCGAAGCGTGCGGCCACCAAAGTGGCGTCGTCGAAGCGTGCGGCCACCGAAGTGGCGTCGGCGAAGCGTGCGGCCACCGAAGTGTGCGGCCGCCGACGTGTGCTGCGATGAAGCGTTGAAGTGAGGCCAATGAAGCATGCCTGAAGGCCAACGCACTGGTTAAAACGAACAGTACAGAGGGGCTCGGCCGCGCTCCGACCAATCAGAGCAGCTCATCAGACACGGACAGCCGGGAGGCAATGCAGTGGGCAAAACTTACAGTCCACGGTCAAATAGACAGCGCAAAGGCCAAGCAGACGACAAATGTTATAGTCCATGGTTACACCTGACAGCCTGAAGGTCAATGCAGTGGGTAAAATGTTCAGTCCATAGTAAAACTGACAGCCTGGAGGTCACTGCAGTGGGTAAAATGTTCAGTCCATAGTAAAACGGACAGCCTGGAGGCCACTGCAGTGTGTAGAATGTTCAGCCCATGAGTAAAACGGACAGCCAGAAGGCCAACACAGTGGTTAAAATGTACGGTCCATGGTGAAAACGGACAGTCTAAATGCCAATGCAGATGGTAAAACGAACAGCCTGAAGAGCAATGCAGCGGTTAGAAACACAGCCTGCGAGACAATTCGGCGGGATTAACTGACACGCCGCAGTTCAGTACGTTCATGGTAGTGCGGAAAACACGAAACCGACACTGTACCGTGAGTGGAGGCAGGGAGACGGGTGGACAGCGGCAGGCAGACAACGGCAGGCAGACAGAAGTCCCGTGCCCGGTATGGAAGCTGCAGGGTGCACGGAGTAACGCCTGGCCGCGAGTAGCAGCGCCACGGGGAGACGAGCGGCAGCGAGTCCGCAGGAGAGGAGCCGCGGTGAGCCGCAGTGGAGACACAGCGACCATGGCGCGCAGCCCCCAACATGTGATGTGGAAGAGGAGCCGTGACCATGCAGGACGAACAATGTGCGAGGCGTGAGTAACAAGGTGACGAAGAGCAACCCATTGCAGCTTGAAGTCCGTTTGGTGAGCTGTGCTCTGCTTTGCTCTTAAACGCTGGCTTGATTGACACGGCTGCGGGGAGTTGATTAAGACAGGCTGAGTAAAGCCTGGTTCACACGAGACGATTTTAAAATTGTCGGCCGATTTTTCTTTGTGTGAGACCCCACACAGGGAGATAAAGAATCACGGGTCTAACCACTTTGGTCGTACAGTGTGTGGTATATTCTACTTTTGTTTCCTGTACACTTATTTGCTCGAAATAAACAAACTTTGAAACTTTGATTGAAAACCAAACACCTGTGCCCAGCCTGACTCCGCCAGACGGAGTCCACCAACATGAACATTTTAAAATTCTCTCTATAAAGGGTGTTGCTTGGAGGACCAAGGGACAAGAAGGGGGGCATAGAGTTGGGTGTGGTCTCACACCAAAAATTAGACTGGGGAAAGATCATTGGCTTTGTAAATGTGTGTTTTAATACTGTGATGGAAGCAGTAGTTTACCTGGCGCGCAGAGGTTTTAGGTGCTTTGGGGAACCAGACAGCGGCACTGGATGCGCAGAGCTGTGACAAACACACAGCTGCAGAGGCGTGAGGGCAAAGAGGGGCAAATGAGAGGAGCGCTTATAAAGCCCACCGGGACGGCCCGTGGGAAAGCAGGCGCACCCTCAACACTGACCTCAGAAGCGGTTTTACCACAAACACATTTCAAATGCTTTTGTTCATACAACAGTTACTTTCGTACGATTCTCTGCTGTTTTATAACATTATCATTTCAATCTGGAGAGACTTTGAGGAGACAAAATGCATTTGAAGTTTTTTATTGAAAGGTAGTTTGGCGCCCTAGGCCCCGGTGCGGCGTTCAGTCAGCGAGGCTCCTGCGAGAGTGCGCGCACAATCCCCCGGGACCTAGACACTGGTGGCGGCATTCGGGCAGCAGGGAGAGGCATGATTGAGGCAGGGTGAGAAAAAGGAGGAGGAGGGGAGGCGGTGGTTTGCAAGGCTTCGAGAAGGCCGTAAAGTGGGAGTTTCTCCGCTTTTAAGCGGCTAGCCTGGCCGGCATAGGTTGGTTGGAAATGGGCGTTTGCTGTGCGATAGGCTGGGGATGCGAGGCCGACCTGGAAGGGGTGGCTTTGCTGACGTCTTCCAGAATTGAATTTCCGCGAGGCTGCATTTCAATCTGGAGAGACTTTGAGGAGACAAAATGCATTTGAAGTTTTTTATTGAAAGGTAGTTTGGCGCCCTAGGCCCCGGTGCGGCGTTCAGTCAGCGAGGCTCCTGCGAGAGTGCGCGCACAATCCCCAAAAGGCTGTGCGTTTGATGGGGTTTTTATGCAGGCCTGGTTAGCAGGGGACAGACGAACGTGCACCGCTATATATAAAGGCAACGCTATTTATAAAGGCACCGCTATTTATAAAGGCACCGCTATTTATAAAGGCAACACTATTTATAAAGGGAACACTATTTATAAAGGCAACACTATTTATAAATGCTTGGCTGCTGCCGCCACCAGGGAGTTTTGCAAGCTTTACGGAGATGCCAATAGACGCTGGGCTGCCAGAATGGTCGAAGTGTCCGGCCTGATGTATGAGGAGAGGGCAGATGATGACCAGCGACCCAACTGCTGAAGGGCAGAATGGGGGAGTCCCAGGGAAGCAGCGCGATTATAAAGGCAACACTATTTATAAAGGCGACACTATTTATAAAGGCACCGCTATATATAAAGGCAACACTATTTATAAAGGCAACACTATTTATAAAGGCAACACTATTTATAAATGCTCAGCTGCTGCCACCACCAGGGAGTTTTGCAAGTGCTTACGGGGATGCCAATAGACGCTGGGCTGGTGGAGGATGGACAGTGTGATGGGGCGCCTGTGGTCCGAGGAATGAGGGGTGCAGTTGTGAATGCCTTTGATGACGAGTTTGATCGAATAGAGAGGAGAAAGCGGGGTTGTGACAGCGGGCCTGGAATTGGATCCCGGCGAGAAGAGAGCGAATGTAAGATCTTGTAGAGGAGATTGTCCGCACGGTAAACTATGAAGGCGCAGATGGTACATACAGAGGGCGGAATTAGGGGAATGCTGTGAGCGTAGCAAAAGCGGGAGTAGACTTTTCAAGCAAAGCAGTAAGATTTCAGCGTGGAAAGTGAGAGGCCCATTTTCATGTAGGGTGACGCGGAGGAGAGGAGAAGGTGAAGAGACGGTGGGACTAGTTCAGGGCGAGGGATTCCATGGCGTTGAATTGGCAGAGTGGCAGAGGCGTCGGAACTCCTGGAATTTAAAACGAGAGAGACAAGCAGCAATACAGTTAAGGTGACCAGGGACGTGACGAGCAGTGATGATAAAATTATTTAGGACTGAGAGCCATGTGATGCGTCTGAGGAAAGACATGACTTGGGGAGAGGACGAACGACCTCTGTTAATTATTTCTACCACGTCGAGATTGTCACACATCACAGAAATCCTTTTTTCTGTGCCACGTGTGGCTCCACAGCGCGCAGGCTACGGCCACGGGATATATTTCATGGAGTGCGGAGGAGATGCTTTGAGGGAAGGAGTCGGGCCAGGGCCCGGCGAACCACTGGTCCTGGAAAAAACCCCCAAAACCCACGGACGGGGCTGCGTCCGTGAAGAAACGCAGGGCATCTGAGGACAGGATGACGTCGCTGTAGAAAAAAGATACACCGTTCCAGCGGCTCAGCAGACGGGACCAGAACGCCAGGTCGGAGCGGCACCCAGCGTTCAGGCAGACAGCATCATTGAGGGAGGGGGCGGAGCCAGCGAGGGAGAGGAGTCTGGAAATAAAAGAACGACCCTGAGGGATGATACGGATGGCATAATTGAGGTGCCCGAGGAGGGAGAGCAGCTGACGCTTCGAAAGTGACGGAGAGGACAAGGCAGACCGGGAGAAGCACGGATGCGCCCAAGCTTGTCCAGCGGGAGGGAGGCCTCCATGGCGCGTGTGTCGAGGCGGATGCCGAGAAACTCCAAAGCGGTGGCGGGGCCGGTGGAATCCGAGGGCAGAGAAGGCGAGCTTGAGCTTGCGGAGAGAGCCCCCGGAGCAGTCTGAGGGTGGGTCGACTACGAGGAAATCATCGGGGAGATGCAGGACAGAGGGGAGCCGCGCGTAATTAAGCAGAATCCGACACGGCGCATCCGAGAGATTGTTGAACGAGAGGGACTACTCCGGCGGTCAAAGGTGAGGCGCACTGCGAAGAAGAACTCTGACGCCACTTGACCCCTGAACAGCGCCAGTGGTCGGGGTGGATGGGCAGCAGCTCGAACGCGTCCGGGATGTCGGCCTTGGAGAGCCAGGAGCCGGGGCCGAAAGTCTTTATCAGCCTGATCGCGTGGTCCACGGTAGCGGACTGCAGGGAGAAGGGCGCTGGAGGGAAGGGGCTGTTGATGCTCGGGGCGGGCCCGGAGCGGGGACAGGAGAGGACGAATATGAGACGCTTCTTCCTGGAGTGCTTGCGGGTGGCGATGCCCATCAGGTTAGAGCGAGACGGAGAGAAGGGGCCAATGACGTAGCCCACGGACACCTCCCGCGCCAGAGCCGCGCGACGGCTTGGGGCTCACGGAGAGCCAGGAAGAGGTTGCGGGACATGAGAGACGCCGAGGGACCTAAACAGAGCTTGCAGTCCAATGTGAGGGATTTAAACAGAACTTGCAGTCCAAGTGAGGGGTTTAAACTGAGAGCCTGCAGTCCAGTGTGAAGGAGTTAAACGACTTGTAGTCCAAAGTGAGGGATTAAAACTGAGAGCTTGCAGTCCAGTGTGAGGGATTCAAACAGAGCCTGCAGTCCTAAGTGAGGGATTTAAAACTGAGAGCTTGTAGTCCGAGTGAGGGATTAAAACAGAGAGCCTGCAGTCCAGTGTGAGTGATTTAAACAGAGTTTGCAGTCCAAAGTGAGGGATTAAAACTGAGCCCGCAGTCCAAGAGAGGGGTTTAAACTGAGAGCCTGCAGTCCAGTGTGAAGGAGTTAAACAACTTGTAGTCCAAAGTGAGGGATTAATACTGAGAGCTTGTAGTCCAAGAGAGGGATTCAAACAGAGCCTGCAGTCCTAAGTGAGGGATTAAAACTGAGAGCTTGCAGTCCAATGTGAGGGATTCAAATTGAGAGC